GCTTATCATTTTTGCCTTTATGAATAAATCTGCTATGACCATTTCTATACATGCTTCCTGGTACAAATGTGTATAAGTTTCTCGGGGATATAAAACTGAGATAGGGACTCTGGTTGTAATTTTCATTTCCAGTGCCCAAAGGTCAACCCACGAGGCAGAACTGAAATGTGCCTTTTGTCCACACTAGGTCAGGGTCAGTAAGAATGCTGTCCAAAAATATTTTTCCAAAAAAAGGAGGGGTAAGTAGGCAGAGACCAGCTAGCCTGGAGAGTTTAAAAGACATCTCAGGCCTTTAGTCAAAATGGCTTGTAATTAGGAAATGTTCAGATTCTAAAATTGTCATTATTATTTCTCTTCTTTTTCCTTCTCTTTTATAGTTTTTTTTTAATTTTATTTTTTATAAACATATAATATATTTTTATCCCCAGGGGTACAGGTCTGTGAATTGCCAGGTTTACACACTTCACAGCACTCACCATAGCACATACCCTCCCCAATGTCCATAACCCCACCCTCCCTCTCCCAAGCCCCCTCCCCCCAGCAACCCTCAGTTTGTTTTGTGAGATTAAGAGTCACCTATGGTTTGTCTCCCTCCCAATCCCATCTTGTTTCATTACTCTTCTCCTACCCCCTTAACCCCCCCATGTTGCATCTCCTCTCCCTCATATCAGGGAGATCATATGATAGTTTTCTTTCCCCGATTGAGTTATTTCGCTAAGCATGATAACCTCCAGTTCCATCCACGTCATCGCAAAAGGCAAGATTTCATTTCTTTTGATGGCTGCATAGTATTCCATTGTGTATATATACCACTTCTTCTTTATCCATTCATCTGGTGATGGACATCTAGGTTCTTTCCATAGTTTGGCTATTGTAGACATTGCTGCTATAAACATTCGGGTGTACGTGCCCCTTCGGATCACTACGCTTGTATCTTTAGGGTAAATACCCAGTAGTGCAATTGCTGGGTCATAGGGTAGTTCTATTTTCAACATTTTGAGGAGCCTCCATGCTGTTTTCCAGAGTGGCTGCACCAGCTTGCATTCCCACCAACAGTGTAGGAGGGTTCCCCTTTCTCCGCATCCTCGCCAGCATCTGTCATTTCCTGACTTGTTAATTTTAGCCATTCTGACTGGTGTGAGGTGATATCTCATTGTGGTTTTGATTTGTATTTCCCTGATGCCGAGTGATATGGAGCACTTTTTCATGTGTCTGTTGGCCATCTGGATGTCTTTGCAGAAATGTCTGTTCATGTCTTCTGCCCATTTCTTGATTGGATTATTTGTTCTTTGGGTGTCGACTTTGCTAAGTTCTTTATAGATTTTGGACACTAGCCCTTTATCTTATATGTCGTTTGCAAACATCTTCTCCCATTCTGTCAGTTGTCCTTTGGTTTTGTTAACTGTTTCCTTTGCTGTGCAAAAGCTTTTGATCTTGATGAAATCCCAATAGTTCCTTTTTGCCCTTGCTTCCCTTGCCTTTGGCGATGTTCCTAGGAAGAAGTTGTTGTGGCTGAGGTCGAAGAGGTTGCTGCCTGTGTTCTCCTCAAGGATTTTGATGGATTCCTTTCTCACATTGAGGTCCTTCATCCATTTTGAGTCTATTTTCATGTGTGGTGTAAGGAAATGATCCAATTTCATTTTTCTGCATGTGGCTGTCCAATTTTCCCAACACCATTTATTGAAGAGACTGTCTTTTTTCCATTGGACATTCTTTCCTGCTTTGTCGAAGATTAGTTGACCATAGTTATAGTTATTTTTTTAAATAGTGCATTTTATTAAACTTATATCTAATAAAATGTCGATGACTTTCTTCAGTCTTTAAGTATTGATTATAAATTTGATTAGATTATTTTGAACAATTCGAACTGTATTTTAAAATAAAGAAGACGAAAATGTATGTTCCTTAAAGGCTCTTTTCAAAAAGACATCTTATTTATGCAGGTTTCCATATTGTATATCTAATATTTATGTTCCAGTTGTTAGGGTCCGTAATCAAAGGAGTGAGACTGATACAAAGCGAAGGTCAAGCAAAGCTTTATTTCATGCCAAGCATGGAGAATCAAACTGACCGATCAGGGCCATCTCTTGCAAAGAGGCGACCCCTCCCAGCCTCACAGACTAACTTTTATAGAGGTAGTTTAGCCGGGCTATACACAGGTGGCCAATGAGATTGCAATAGAAAGAAAACTGCACAGTCATGCTAAGTCTGCCACACACAGAAAAAAAAAAAAACTGCTAGGTAACACACGGGTGGCCAATTGAATTTCAATTTACCCTAGTAGATATATGTGCACCCAACTGATTGGATGTCTTCACCTGGCCTGACCCGCCCTTGTATCTAGGCTTTGCAAGTAAGTTCCTCTGAGAGGGGCAGGGTCAATCTAAGTTTACTGCATAGGGTCAATCTAAGTTCACTATATAAACACAAAATGACTCCCTCTGGCCAACCAGGCCCTTGCATTGTCATATGATAAAAATTAGTCTTTATCATTATCATCTCATTTACCCCTATATACTTTTATAACTTTCAAAAAATACTCCCATCTTTGAGGTGCCTCCTTATCTGCAGTAATCTGTACTCTGCTTTATTATATTATCTACTATGTTATTTTATAGTTCCTTACTTCCTGTCTGTCTTCTCTACTAGATAATAGGTTTCTTAGAGGAAGTATGTAACGTATTGATTGTCACAATATCCCCAGCACCGAGCCCTTTGTTTGGTTCATAGGGCTAGGTGCTAGGAGTTGAGTTAATCTATCTCATTTCAACCTTCAATTTTATAACATAGTTAGTCATGGGTTGTGAATCAGCCCTTTGGAGTCAGACTTACCTAGGATGGAATCTGGCATTTCCAGTTATGAGACAAGTGATTTTGAATGTGTCCAATTTTACTGAACATCAGGTTCCTCTCCTACGATATAGAGATGATACAGAGCTACCTGGCATGGCTTTGAGGGGAGACTAAATGAGATGATATATATGAAATGGCCTGGCATATAAAGTGCCTAAATACATTTTTTTAGTTTATTTGAATATCTTGCATTAGTTCCAGAAATTTAAAAAAAAGGGAAAAGGATGAAAACATCTGCAAAAATAAAAACAAAAAACTTCTGCTTCTCCTTGTTTTGTGAATGAGAATGGGAATACATTTTTTTACCCAAGAAAATGACATTTTTAGCCAAAGGGATGATGCTTTTAACATTTGGCCTATTTATATATGCAAAGTGAGCTATTTGCCTGTGGAATTTGTGGTCCTGCTAGTCTTGTTTTGGTGCACAAACTCCTGCTGGCTTTCCAAAGTCAGGTTAAGAAAGGGAGAGCCTGTGGTGAGGTTGGGGTGGTGGGGATATAGGCCACCATAGCCAGTTGCTGGGTTTGCATATCAGCTAAACATTTTGAGTGGTTTCTGTTGTACTTGGGACTTGAATAAAGGCTGATATTTGTGTCTTAGAGGTAAAGTGCTAAATTTTCTTTGCTTTTGCCCTGCCAGGGCTGATCCATGTTTATTAATGGATAACATTTCATGCTTTTTTTTATTCTGATGACTATGCTGAGCATGATAATCAAAGAGCCATGTGTAGAAAGTGAGAGAGTGGCAGGAAGATGATAAGGTAATGGGAACTGTATTGGATTTGCAGCCAAATATCCTGGACTTGCTGTCAAATCATTTTGGGGTTCACCTCTCTGAATCTTTCTTCATATGATGTAATGAAAGAAAAAATATTTATCAGAGTTGTTTTGAAGTGTAGAAATCATCCAACACAGCAAATAGGCTGCCATTAAGGCTTCCTATCCTTCCTTTCCTTTCCTTTCCTTTCCTTTCCTTTCCTTTCCTTTCCTTTATAAAGAAGTGCTCATAAAAAGTATGGTTACATTCCTGTAGATGAGAATATGGACAACTACCATCTACCTTAGGCAGATTAACCCAGGAGGTCATTTGAATCTTGTTCAATGTTTAGACATAGGGCATAGGAGAGAAAAAATTTGACCTTTGCCAAGAAGAACCATGTTTCATTTGTTTAATCTTGAATTAATTACTATGGGAGACTCAGAATTACACTTCTATTAAAGCTTCACGATTGGCTTTCTGACCCTCTCCTTCACATCCACCTGAAAGGACTCAGACACAGATCTTCTTAAGACATAGGAAGTTTAGATTAGGTGATCCCTGAGCTCCATCCTAGCCTAAGGACCCTATGAGTATTTTAATGGCCAAGTGTTGAGATGGTAGCCTGAGAAATTTCCAGCATTACTGTGTATCACTTCCCAAGAGCCTCAGGCATAAAGGATTCTGCTACTTTATGTTGTAGAATGAAGAGGAGGGGATGTTCATGTGATCTACAGAGATGGCTAAAGAAAGTGAAGGAACTGGGCGGGGGGGAACAAATCAGACCAGAATGATAATACAAATCATGATCCCTTACTAGTGTATTCATTTTAAAGGATTTTTATCCTTTATACAATTTATACTGACACTTAGAACAGTAGTTCGGTAGGATGGGCAATGCTATTGACAGGTGAGAGTGAGGCTCAGAGAGCTAGAGAAAAGCGTACCAAACTGTTTTGTTGAGACTTTTTTTGCCTTCGATCTCCCTTTGGATAAGGTAAGGCCACAGAGCTGGGTTCAGACCATTTGACTGCTCTGAAATTGTTGCCAGAACCACCCTAAGTTAGATACTTTAACCTCAGGTTTCTGTCTTCATCCTTCCCTCATGTAAACTTAGCCCGTGAGACTGGCTGATCCCAGAGAACTTCTTGAATTCCTTAGCAGGGTTCCAAAAGGTTCTGTCCACATGACAAGACACCCTACAAACATCATCCCTAGAAGAACCAGAAAAAAATCAGCTTCACACTGACTCAATTAAGTAAGGAATAATTTTATTTCATAGAAGTTAATAATTTACACATGTAGCTTGCTCCTGAAGACCTCAGACTTCTATCTTCTTATCTCTGCCAACCACTGACAATTATTGCATTGTTTCTCATGTGTCTTTTCAGTTTGGAGACTGCCAGAGATCATGTTCTACCCATTGACTATTACTTTCCACCCCAGAAGACCTGCCTGATTTGCGGTGATGAAGCTTCTGGCTGTCACTATGGAGCTCTCACTTGTGGAAGCTGCAAAGTCTTCTTTAAAAGGGCTGCTGAAGGTAAAGGGACTTGCACACTCACATCTTTTTCCCTTTCTCCTTTATCTTATATAGAGAGACACTAGTCTTCCTGAGCCCAGGATTTTATCGTCTCAGAGACAAAGTCACTGGCAGGACCCTCTCAAAGAACCTACGAACCTAAAGAAGAAAGTTTTTATATTTGCTTGTCCCCTGGCTTTGGCAACCTTGGTAGTACAGCCAATGTAGTCAATAACAGCGATCCTACCTGGTGATTAGAGCTTGGGGTGGTCCTAAGAATGGAAGAAAATCAATGATTTGAAAAGTTGTAATTTCTTCCCTGCTTGTGTTTCATTCTGCTGTGTAGTGAGGGGACAAAATGTCTTTATTAGAGAAGTTAGAAGTGGAGAAACCCCAACTGAGTCCCCACCTATTCTCTGTAGTGTATATGTGACTGTTCCATCACAAAGTCTCCTCGGCCTCAGTCTCAGAAAGGAAGTGTTCTTGCTGTTCAGGGACCATTGGTCTGTGCACCTGCTCCCTCCTGCTACTGCCTCCTTGGGCCCTCTTTGCATTAGTAGCCCCCAAGTAAATAAAGATCGAGAATGACAAAATACTTTTATTCTTTCCATAGATCCTACAATAAGAACTACCATTTATAGACCTCCCATGTATGCTAATGATTCCTTCCTTCGCAATCAACCTGGCCTCAAATCTCCTACTCATCCACTCCATCCTCCATCCTGTAATAAGGGCTTCTTTTCTCAATAGGACACTGATAAGCAGCCCCTAGACAGATCTATTCTGCTCTGGGGGAAAACCCTGTTGTGAAACACTAGCATCTACTCCTATATCCACTTTCCACAAGGGAAATACTCCCTGACAAAGCCTTTCCTACTCCCTCCCTGGCCTAGACATGTTGAGTTCCAAGTCAGAACCAAAACAGCATTTCCTTAGTTAAGGACAACAAACCCTGTGGACACTCATAAAAGTGGCAGGTATATAAGCCACACTTTTCACCAGAAATGTAAGGGCATCCCTCAGAGGATAACAGAAGCAACAGGGAGTTCTTGGCATCTGGAGAAAAGGTGCAAAACAGGTGTCCTTTTCTGGTTTTCCCATTGACAGCCAATTGGAATGGTGATTGCTTTTTCCTCATTTTAGATGGGTGGCAGGAATAGCTATAAAACAGAAAATTGTTATTTTGTTTTCTTCCAGTCCCCAAAGCAACAAGGAGACAGCCAGCTTTTAGTATTACTGAAAACATGGTGCATGTTCCTTCCATACCCCCAAGTGGCCTATTGCTGCTGCACAAACTGAGCTAGTATAAGGTCCAGGGCCCCAGTACTGTCCCTAGGCAGTTTAGAAAGAGACACAGAGATCAGTTTCTGCCTTTCTTAAGAGTACTTACAGAAGGATGCCTGTCAGAAAAGAAAGTGAGGAATAGTCTGAGCACATCAGATCACCCTCAATTTCCCCAGTGAGAATCTGCTTCCTTCCCTTCCCCCATCATCCAGTAGGTCCTGCCTATAGAGCAGAGAATAAACCAGAGCACCCTTCTAGAGATAGTGTGTTAGTAAGCCCAGGAACACAGGAAGAGCAGCCATATCAGTTGGGTAAAGAGTTCAAGTAAGCAACTGAGAAAGCAAATTGAATAGTCAGATAGATTAGGTTGTATTTAATGCTGCCTCTGGGTTTTACAAATCTGCGTCACAATACTGTTGTTTTTGGAAAACAGGGAAAGTGATCAAACATATTGTAAAAGGGAATATTTTGCTGTCATAACATATTCCACATGGGAGCTTTCTTCAGAAGTTGGGGCTGAAGAAGGGAGAAAGGCAGAATGGCAGCTGGCAGAGCTGCACGATGATGTGGATCATGGGCTATTTGAGAATAAGGAAGCGGAAAGGGGTAATCACTCAACTTAAAGAATACTTGGAAATTCAGCAAGATCTCAAAATGCTCTAGAACTTAGAATCACTCAAGTTAGGGAAACTTGGTAATATTTTCTTTGAGAAAATGAGCCTTTGTGAGCTCAGGGGGCCAAATACCCTTGACTGCTTGAAATATGAAAAGTCACAAATGGATTGTTTAGAAAGCTACGAAGCCTCTTGTTTCCTTTGGAATATGACCCCCAGGTTCCGGTCCTGAATCCTTTGAGGGATAAGAGAAGGTGGTTTACACACACAAACACACACACCACAAGCAAATAAAAAAAGGCATTTTCTTTCTCCTTCCATCTGTAAAGCTTGTTGGCTGGAGTTTACTGCTGTCATTATCTCTATTTGAAGGCAAGGGGTTGTCTTATTATCCACAGAGAACATTTATTGATTTGTTTTTTTCCCCCATTTTTACAATGTGTCCTTATCACCCCAGTGGCCTTTATGAAAGTGATTCTGAATCTGCCTTGTTGAAACTTGGAATTCCACCTGTCTTGGAGAGAGTGGGAACACAAATCTTTCTTTTCCTCATTTGTTTGTTGTTGTCAGTTAAGTCAGACTTATTCAGAGTGTTGATTACCACTTTATTCATGGTTTCAAAAATCTCTGGACTGGGCACAGGTACAAGACTTAAAAGCCTGGCACATCAGACAGAAATCCATTTCTAGCTTTGGTAGTTCATAAAGCATGAGGCTTTAATGCTGTCATTGGTGCAAGGATCAGCACAGAGTCAATTGTAATCTAGCCAGATTTTCCTATAGAGGAGGTGGAAGAAGAGGGAGCCTCATATTTTCTCATTGTCAGTAATTCTGGGAGTTTGGGGTAAGGATTAGGCTAGTCAAGGAGGTATCTGCATATTTTGATATTAAAAAAAATAATGATGCTAAGCCATGGGGATAAAATCACTAAAATCTGGTTGAGGAAAACTTTGTGTGTGTGTGTGTGTGTGTGTGTGTGTGTGTGCGCATGTGTGCATGTTTGTGCAGTTGGAGGATATTCTGTGGGCTAGAAACAGGCATGAGGAGAATCAACTAGTTGATGGGGTGATGGCATGACCAGGGAAGTGACAGGGGAAGGCATATTGAATGCCATCTAAAAGGCCAGGAAATCAAAGGAAGGTGATGCCTATACACACCAATAGAGGGGCTCAGAGGGGTTTTAGTTGTCTGGATTTGAATAATTTTCCTCTTTGGACTTCAGTTTTCTCTGTCTGTAAGATAAGGGACGTAAGTTAGGTTTTTTTTTTTTTTTGCTTGTTTGTTTGTTTTTAAGAGAGAGAGAGAGCATGAGTGGGGTAGGTGGGGTGGAGGGAAAGGAAGAGAGAGAGAATCCCAAGTAGGCTTCATGCTCAGTGTGGAGCCTGATGTCAGGCTCAATTTCATGACCGGGAGATGATGACCTGAGCCAAAACCAAGAGTTGGATGCTTAATAGACTGAGTCACCCAGATGCCCCTAGATATATTTTTTAAATATTTTATTTATTTATTTGACAGACAGAGATCACAAGTAGGCAGAAAGGCAGGCAGAGAGAGAGAGAGAGAGGAGGAAGTAGGCTCTCTGTTAAGCAGAGAGCCCGATGCGGGGCTTGATCCCAGAACCCTGGGATCATGACCTGAGCTAAAGGCAGAGGCTTTAACCCACTGAGCCACCCAGGCACCCTACCCCTAGATATTTTTCATATGCCTTTCCAGTTTTGACTTTTTATGATGGGTCTACAAATTATATACATCATCACTGTCAAAATTATTACATCAACAAACAAACATGCGTTTCTATGTATATGCACTTTTCGTTTTGCCTTCCTAACAGGTGGTGAACCCTAGCTCCCATTCTTTTAAAAATCAATTTTCAGATGAGGTTAGAGCCGGTTAAGAAAGTGCACTGTGGATGGGCTAGGTTAAAATTCAGGACTCTGAGATTCCGCCTTCCCCCAGCATTGTGACCATAGTTGGATAACTTCCTTTCTTTTCCATTTTCTCATCTGGAAAATCAAGACATAAATCCCCATGTCCACCACATCATGTTTCAAAGAGGGTTAATTAGTTCATCATGTGCAGTATGTGCTCAAGAATTTACTATTTCTTAGACATTTTCTAGTAAAACATTGGAGATTGTGCATCCACTTGTTTTGTACACATGGAGTGCTGTTTGGTACACATCATAAAATTGAAACTATAGTTTACATTCTGGACTCAAAGAATTATACCATTGTCACTGATGTTTACAATATGTCCCAATTTAGTATTCTTGGCAAATTTTATAAAAGTATGGCTTTGATTCCCTCTCACACCCCAGGTTTTTGTGAGGGAAGAAATGTAAGTGAACCCTCATTGAACTCTTTCTGTCCTTTAAATCCACTCTTTACCACCTCAACTCATGTGGAATTGAATATTACTCCTCGTTTGGAGTCATGCAGAGAGTTCTTTGTGCCTTTCAGTGTCCTCTTCACTCCCTGGCTTTTTGAGTAACATTTCCCAGGGGAAATTAACTATGCTAGAAGAATCTGCTTGCAGCTTCAACAGAGCCTTGATCAGGTATATTTGGCCAAGGAATTGACTGATCCGGATTGCACCGATCCTAGATAACTTTTCACAAAGTTCCTCTTACCTTTTATCTTTCTCAGGTTTTTCTAAATGTCAAAGCCAGAATTTATATCAGAGGATCAGCCAAATTTTTCTATAAAGGACCAGGTAGTAAATATTTTAGGCTTTGTGGGCCATATGGTCTCTGACTTGACTACTTAACTATGCCTTTGTAGCCTGGGAACAGCCCTAGACAATACTAAGCTAACGGGTGTGGCTGTATTACAGTAAAATTTTATGGACACAGAAATTTGAATTTCATTTAATTTCCCATGCTATTCAGTATATTTTTCTTTTGATCTTTTTCAGCCATTTAAAATCTAAAGATCATTCTCAGCTCTTGAGCCACACTGGATTTGGTTTGTGAGCTCTAGTTTTTGACTCCTGCTTTGGATGGTCACTCCTGTGCTTGCAAATCTACAGAGTAAATTTCACTCTTTCCGGCTTCTGGTATTTTAGTAACTCTCTAGATTATCTGATTTTCAACATTCTTCTGAGTGGCCAAAGTTTGCATGTCTTG